GTATTTTTGTTTTTATTTAAAAAAAAAAGAAGAAGAAAAGTGCTCCATACAGAAGTAGAGCTTAAATTATAATTATTTTTTTAAAAAATATGATTCCGTTTCGGCTCTCATTTTGAAACATGAGAACTCTTATGTAGTGAAATAATTATAATATATATATATATATATATATATATATATATATATATATATATATATATATATATATATGATATATGAGATTTATATATATATATATGTATGTATATATATATATATATATATATATATATATATATATATATATATATATATATATATATATATATATATATATGAATATAAGTATCCCTATCTGCTTGTGTATAAGTCTACTTCATGTATAGTGTGACCTTTGAATTTTTTGCATGAATTTTAACTATCCAGTAAAAAATTGTACCTATAACAAGTAACCAGTCCATAAAAATGCATGATTTTAATCTTTTCAACAAAAACAGAAAAAAATCATCTGTGTATAGTGCGATCCATATTTTTGTGTTAAAAACTGTTCATAAAAACTCATACTGTATAACATAGCATAGCTCCTGCTGTGCCTTTGCTACAAATATTTTCATGGCAATTCTTATAATGAAGTTTCCTCTTTGAAACCTTGACTTTATGAACCCAAGCGTATTACTAGATTGGCACTTAGGTCTCATCATTTTTACTGTTGAAATTGCTAAATTACCTTGCACACTTTATTCATCATTGAAGCTACTGAGCATTTTCTGGCTCTTGCATCTCTTGAAATCACTGCCAGTAAATAAAAGAACATTATTTTGTATTCATCTTTTTTTCAGGAAGTCATTTTATGACTTCATTTCAAAGGAAAGAAAATAGCATCTATGGGCTGCCATAAAATATTTTAATTAGGTTTTATAGTCTTGTATCTATTTTTGTTGTCCTTCCATTACTTTGCTAAAAATATTTAGCTTTTTATTCTTAATTTACTTCCTTTCTAAAAACTTGTTTACCACTGATTAACCTTTAAAACTTGGTTCTTGAGAGAGACACAAGTTGTCTCTTTGATACTCAAATGAACAAAGCCAAGATTATATTTTCACATGAATGAAGTACTGAATATATATATATATATATATATATATATATATATATATATATATATATATATATATATATATATATATAGTTGGGATCAAATATAGATAAAATATGGATCAGAATCTGACAGAATAATAAGATAACAAACAAATAGGAAATGTTTATCAATTCAACAGGTTTCACTTTTTATTAAAGCTTCATCAGAGAATGATATATGGAGAAATTTCTCTGATGAAGCTTTTAATAAAAGAGAAACATATTACATTGATAAATCTTTTCTAAAATGGCTGAAACGTTGTAATAAAGATTAGGACAATAGTCCAATAATGTAAATAGTGTACATAATACTTCATCTCAGAAATATAGACAGATATTGTTCTTCATTATATATATATATATATATATATATATATATATATATATATATATATATATAATGTATATATAATTTTTCTTCAAAACCTGGGAGGATCATTTGGGGACATTGTGGCACATGGTGCACCAGTTCTCTGTATTCAGCTCTTCTTCAAAAGTGTGGTTGGCTCTGCACAAAGCATTCACACCACTATAATCAAATCATATGTGCTGGTGTCTGGGCTGTCGGTTCCTAGGAACTGAGCTGCTTGACACTCATACTTTTAAATTACCGAGAGAGTCCAGTATATAATTTTTTGTTATAGTCTGAAGTAGCAGTGATGTGAACATCACAATACTAAAAATGGGGCGTGGGGGGGGGGTGAAATACCTAAGGAATCTTTTGGCCAACACTTCATCAGAAATCAATCATTGGGGGGAAACAATTCCAACAAAATCCACTTTTAGGGGACTAAATAGGAGAAAAACTGGTACATTTTGTTGGCTGAAGGATTCCTTAGATATTTCTCCCTTTTTATCATTAAGAACCCTGCACCAATGCTATTTAAGCCTATAATAAAAATTGAATAGTATCAAGTCATTGTTTATATATATATATATATATATATATATATATATATATATATATTATATTATATTATATTATATATATATATATATATATATATATATATATAAATTTCCAAGAGCTCAATATCCAGGACAGAGCAAGAATATATAAAAGGCTCAATATTTACATTATTCAGACTATTGTCCTCATCTCTGTCGCCATATTTATTACAACGTTGTACACTCTGGCCTTCTTCAGGTGGTTGGAATGTCGAACTGAACCCTTTATTTTGCCCACTGGAATGTTCCACTTCCACATGCCATGTTTAATGGATGTCAGTTATCTCTTGTTAATTCCCCTCTCCAAGTTCTCCACTACTTTAACCAGGTATTGAACTCACACTCTTTGGGCCATGTCACTGGATCTAATTAACACCTTTATACACTGTGCCATGTGTCCTTGAGAACATCTGTGTATGAATTTCTCATATTGCAATTTTTGCTGTTATCATTTCATGTTTTTACTAGAGCTCATGTTGCAATTTTTGTTGTTATTATTGCTTTTCTCTGGCACTCCTTATTACTGGTTCCTACATTCATTTCTATGCTTGGTCAGCTCAGGAGATTTTTGTGACCTAGCATATGCGCTGATTTCTTAAGTTTATGAATTTTCTAATGGTGTTCTTTGTCTATGATCTTAACCTGATCCCACAGAGGGCGGTGATCTCTCTTTTCTCTCCATATGTGGTCAGCCATGCCTAATTTTTCCACTTCCCTATATATATATATATATATATATATATATATATATATATATGTGTGTGTGTGTGTGTGTAAGCATGTATCTGAGTGGTTAGAATGTTTGCTTTCTGACCACAAGATCTGGGTGTGAATCTCACCATGTAAGGAAGGTGACTTTTTGAAGTGATCTGCCTTTGGAGGTGATCCCATTGAGTGACATTGTTGGAAAGTGCCCTATCCTTGTGACATTGTTCAAAAAAATGTTGATCGCACCAGATGATGCATTCTCTCCCAGAAAGTGTAACCAAAATCCACTCAGCATAGTTGTAATATAGACCACAGGTAAGCTCTTTGGGTATTGAACAAACACAAATGTAACTTAGCAAGTCAAATTTCTATTTGTGCTTATGTGGGCCTGAAATTCTTTTGTCACCAAAAATGGGCCACAACAAAGAAGTTTAGAAACACTGTTCCAATGCATCGTAATTTCTGTGACAGGTTGATACATATTTGTATATCACATCTTGTATGATGCAGCAGTATTAAAAAATCTCTGAGAACAATGCATATTTCTCATTCCTTCTTTTAACTATTTTGGTTCTTCCTTCTGTTGAACTGAGGTGATAGTATATCATGTATATACTAATGCCTATGGCTGGCAACTATATATGATAGTATATCATGCATATACTAATGCCTATGGCGGGCAACTATATATGATAGTATATCATGCATATACTAATGCCTATGGCGGGCAACTATATATGATAGTATATCATGCATATACTAATGCCTATGGCGGGCAACTATATATGATAGTAAATCATGCATATACTAATGCCTATGGCGGGCAACTATATATGATAGTAAATCATGCATATACTAATGCCTATGGCGGGCAACTATATATGATAGTATATCATGCATATACTAATGCCTATGGCGGGCAACTATATATGATAGTATATCATGCATATACTAATGCCTATGGTGGGCAACTAGAAACTGGAGATATTATCTATGGAGTTATCTATTTCCAAGTATCCCATAAACTTTGATAAAACATTATTTTATGCTGGCTCTGTTAAGAGATATTTAATTTGAACTATGACTTACTGAATGATAGCTTATTTGAAAATCATGTTTAATTTATCTATCTGCTTGGGGAGTTTATCCAGCTTAATATTTATGACAGCAATGAATACAAACATAACACACCAAAAGCTTTATAATGCACATTTTCAAGAGGTTAACTATGATGACCTCTGTTCACACTTGCTAGTACTACAAATATCAACATTACTAGTACTACAAATATCAACAAAACATATTTATTTTTTTCTCACAATTTTATTATTGAAATTTTTTTGGTCAATGAGGGGGTGCTGAATAGCTCGCTTCCCAACCTATCTGCCCAAATGACCAAATATCAGAATTGCTTTTGGAATTCCCTACGTCATGGAACAGACTCCTCATCACAATCTTAACCTTTTTAAGTCTAGGGTCAAACATTACCTATCTTATATATCATTATAATCTGTACTTACTTCATCATCCTACGTCCTTACAACAACTTCATATAGCAGTCTTCTTCCTTGAGTGCTTCTTGGGCCTTAATATAAGTAAATACTATTCTGTTTGCCTCCAAAATACATGTTTTTAATTCTTTAACACATTCCATTTTAACAACACATTAATACCCAAATAAAGCAGTATAATAGATTAATTAGTAGTATAAATTATATAAGTACTTAATTTTGGTTGCATAATTAGGGAATTGGATATCTGAAGAAAAAATTAACATTAATTCCTTAAAGAATATTAAAGCCATTCACTTAGTATTCTTAAAAATGCCTCCCGAAAAAAAAAAAAAAAAAAAATTAAATTGTTTCTTTGTCTGTCTTGTTTTAATCTCCAATTTAGACTGAAAAGAATAACATTAATTCATAATTAATTTAAATGACATTTTTAAACTATTCATTCTACTTACCAAGATTTTTTAAGTAAGAGATTACATATGAGTTAAATGTAAAAAAAAAAGCAAATATATTTAGCATTATATTTCTGGACAAAAAAACCATGAGGAAAGTTATCGAGATCTAAAATCATTTAGTAATCTTGTTAATCCGAGGTAGTCTGTTCTGAAAATTAATAAATGCCACAATTCAAAGTATTATGGTCTCGTTTCTTGAATTCCTGGAGAACAAATTCAGGACAAATATGGTTGAAAGACCTCCGTCTAAATATAAAATAATCTATTGTATAAAATTGTATAAAGAGAGATGAAGAAAGAAAGAAAGGAATCTGAAAAACAAGAGATGGAATAAAAAGAGAACTACAAAGAGAGAGAGAGAGAGAGAGAGAGAGAGAGAGAGAAGTAAAGAAAGACTCATTTTATGATGAAGAGGAACAAGGAGAGAACAACAAAGAGAGAGAGAGAGAGATGGATAAAGAAAGAAAGAAAGGAGTATGAGGAAGAATGAGATGAGAAAATCCAAAAGAGAGAGAAAGAAAAAGTAAAGAAAGACTCATTTTAAATGAAGAGGAATGAAGAGAGAAAGACAGAGAAAGAAAGAAGTGTGAGGATGAAGAGAAGGAATAAGATGAGAAAAACAGAGAGAGAGAGAGAGAGAGAGAGAAAATAAAGAAAGTCATTTTATGATGAAGAGGAATAAGGAGAGAACAACAAGGAAAGGGAGAAAGAAAGAAAGAAAGATGTAGGAGGAAGAAGAGGAAGAGTAAGATGAGAAAAAGTAAAGAAAGACTCATTTTAATGATGAAGAGGAATAAAGAGAGAACAACAAAGAGAGAGAGATAAAGAAAGAAAGAAAGAAAGGAGTATAAGAAAGAAGAGGAGGAATAAGATGAGCACAACAAAGAGAGAGAGAGAAGTAAAAAAAAAGACTTTTTTTTAAGAGGAATATGGAAAGAAAAACAAAGAGTGACAGATAAAGGAAAGAAAAAAAGAAGTATGAGAAAAGGAGAAATAAGATGAGAAAAATGAAGCAAAAGACTGAAAGAGAGAAAAGACTGAAAGAAACATAAGGAAGGAAATGGAGGAGTAAAATGAGGACAATGACGAGAGAGAGAAGTACAGAAAGACTCCTTTTATGATGAAGAGGTGGAATAAAGAGAGAGAACAACAAAGAACACAACGAAACAAAATTATCTCCATTTCTTAATACTTTGTTTAGCTTTTGAAAGGCATCTTTTGCAATTTCAATTATTTACACTATTAATATTCAAAATTATACCTCTCAGAATAACAACTACCTGGCAAACGTAACATCAGTATCTATAGGTACGAACAGAAGGATCAAGGGGAAAGATCAGAAAATTGCCACAGTTTGTCCACTTTGCGTCAAGGGCTTATCGGAAAAGATTCAGAAGATCTATGCTCTACACAACATCCAGACAATATTCAGAAGGAGTTCCACTCTACAGAGAAATCTCTGCCAAGTAAAGCCTAACATGGAGGAGAATAGTACCAAGAATATGTGTATTTGATTCCTTGCAGTTGTAGCAGTGAATATAAAGGTGAAATAAGTTTCCCCCTACAAGTAAGGCTGAATGAACATCAAAAAACTGTAGTGAGGAGTAAGATAATGAAATTGAGCATGGCTGATCATGTATGGAAGGAAAGGAGTAGTAATCAGCCCCTGTAGACTGAACTGAAAAGACTGGACAAAGAAGAACATTAGTGAGTAAAATGTCTGAAAGAATTAGTATGTATGAAGATCCCTTTAGTAGGCCTAGCATATAAATAAATACAATATGGGAGCCGCTAATGAAGAAAGAAAGACAAATGACAGAAAGTCTTCAGCAACACCAGGGACAATAGTCTGAATATAAAGTGTAAATAATAACAGCACCTCATCCCAGAAGTTCAGACAGAAATTTCTTTGTCATGTGTTTTGTCATCTGTTCGGTTGTGCTCACTTCCTACGGATGGGAGGAACCCGAAGGAGGCTATGCCGAAGGGCGGAGGCTCCTTCGGAGAGGTAAAACTTGCCCTGAACCCATTTAGACGGGTTCAACGGGCATATTTTTGGCCGAGCCCACAGGCTCGGAATGCCCACATTAAAAAGACCTTGTGCCACATGACACCCTCGTGGGGTGGGGGTGACTGAATATCGTCATCTTTTAAAACACTTTCCAGATATTTTACAGTGTTGTTAACTGGGGCAAAGAATGGCTTGTTAAAGCTTTCAAAACAAAACTGCTTTCTATAAAGCATCTGAGTTCAGAACTATTATCTATTACACCCCCTGCGCATCCAAGCTTACAGCACCTGGTATTCCCAAGTGGTCACCCATCTAGGTACTGACCAAGCTCAATGTTGCTTAACTTCAGTGTTCCTATGGGAACTGGTGTTTTAACATGATGTAGCTGTAAACCAGCAGGACAGGGATTAGGAGAGATAGCACAAAGATAAACCTTACTAAGAGCTACAAGAGACAGGGAGCTGTGGAGAACCACGATCACCCTTGGCATGAAAGGAGATGGCAGATTAAAAAATTAAATAAAAAGGACCCAAATCTAAGAAAAGATTACAGAAGATGACAATTTATCATCACAGCAGTTCATAGATCTGATGATGAGACTAAGAGATAAAGTGATAAGACAGTGTCCTTGACCCAACACGTCACAGAAATGAACCCCTAACTTCACAAAACAATTATCTATCCCTTACAAGTGCAGCGCACAGGACATGATAGCTGTAAATGTTTCACTACCTGACACATGACATAAGACTTTGAATATCTGTCATGGAAGCCACTACCGGCTTTGTTTGCTCACAGGCTTGGCCAGCTAACTTCCAAGAAACCTGATAGAAATCATAATGGTTTCCGTGGGGAGGGGAGTGTTAAGAGACAAATCTATCATGAAAGCTATCTATTTTTAGACCACACCTCATCTAGACACTTTTGCTTCTGGCCTTGACAGAAATGGAACTTGCTCTTCCTGATTCTTGTCAGGGTGGAATGGCATCAAACTCTACTCACTTGAAATTGAACCATATCGAAAACATTATACATATCAGGGATTTAAATCAACTGCTTATTTGTTAGCTTCTTTCTCTCTCAACACAGATGTGCAGATGGTGTAGTAGTTAGCAGCTCGGAAAGATTCGGTGATCCAAGTTCAAATTCCACCAGAGTCTGCTGCATTCACTTTCGCACAAATACTTTTGGAAAAGGCATGAATCCATCTCTTCTCTGCCTGTGGATTAAATAACAAGGCAGACTGGGTTATCTAGACTTAGCAACCAGTCTAGGAGAAGGGAAACTCTGAAATTCAAAATTGTTTGGGTGTAGAGCTGGCAAATACACCCTCTAAGAACCTATGTTAATAGTTGGATAGAAGCTCTTCAGCCTTGGTTGGTGATCTATCTAGAGATGGTGACTCGATAGAAAGGCCTGTCCCCTAGCAGTCTGAGTCACTCATAGGGATGTGTACTCATTAAGAAGTCAAGGATTGATTTGGAACTGTATTTATATTACAAACAGGACCCTACCTCCTAAAATTATAAAAATGTCATGAGTATTGATTGATTTGTTTTTTATGTCTTATCAACCCTTTTTAGGTTATTTAACGCCAGAACCTATTTTGGACTGTAAGAATTATTCTATTTTTTATGTCTTATCAGCCTTTTTAGGTTATTTAAAGCCAGAATATATTTTGGATTGTAAGAATAATTCTGTTTTTTATGTCTTATCAACCTTTTTTAGGTTATTTAAAGCCAGAACATATTTTGGATTGTAAGAATAATTCTGTTTTTTTATGTCTTATCAACCCTTTTTGGGTTATTTAAAGCTGGGACATATTTGGAATTGTAAGAGTAATTTTTTTTTCCAATTTTGATCTTTTATAAATGCAATGTAAGTCATCATCTTCAGTCTTAATACATGTTCTTTTGTTTTCTTTCCTTAATGTTTTTTTTTGTGATATTCACTCACTAATTCTTTACATCATAGTGGCTTTATTGCCTTGCTTATAGTGAAATGATTAAAAAGTGAATATTGCATTAATAATTTTTTTATGAATAACAAATGATCTTTTTCAGATATTGTTCTCTTTTTTTAATGTTTATTTTTCTCATATTCTTTATTAAGCAGTAATTCTTTGCATCTTGTAATTTGTATCAAAATGTGAATGTAAGGAACCTGACTGAAATTGGAACTTGATTCTCAAACTTTCTCTCCAAGCTGTTATCCACTACATCATCCACAATGTCATTTCAAGAGGAAAGTAATGATTGCTAATCTACAAAAACTGGTAAAAAAACCCCAAAAAACCAAAAAACTCATAAGTTAGAACAAGAATTAAAATTCGTTAGTGAATCTTGTCTATCCATTGGACATTGTGCAATCAAGCATTAATACGAAGATTGCACAATTTCCTAGGCCTAAACGTCTTGGTTCTAAATAATGTCCCGTCTATTTAAAACTGCTCTGGATTAGTGAGACTGGCATAATTTTTGCTAAGCAAATCTTATCCAATATTTTACAATGTTATGTTTCTTTTTCGCTATTGTACCTAGACTTTATGAATTTAAGTGCAGTACTAGACTGGCAATGAGGTCTCATCCATTTCACAATTGAATTGGCTGGATGTAACTGTAAGTTCTATGCTAACAGTTTCTTTTCTCGCACTTCTCACTTGTGGATTTTTCTTTCGACTCTAAGCTTTCCAGTCAATTTTAATCTTCAAAAATTTAAATGCAGCATCAATTGCTATTTACTGTCTCCCTGATTACTTTTCTTTTGTTCTCGTTCCTTAGTAACATTTCTGTTTTCTAATTCTATTGCACCCAGAAACTCCTTGTGACCTGGTGCCTTGTTTGGGATGATAACTTTTAAAAAAAGAAAGAAAGAAAGAAAGTTATACAGTTCAAGTTTCTGTAGTTTGTTAAAATCTCTCTCATATCTTCTTCCACTCTATATTTAATGCTTTGCTTAAAGAAAAATCCATAAGTGAAGTTCTTGTCCCAGCCAATATCGAAATCTTTTCATCAGGAAAACCTGCCTATCTTCAAAACCATTCCAGTTATTTATTCATTTAAATGTCAGTATGATGCTGAATATAAAGGCAAGACAATTTAATATTTGGAAACTAGAATCTCTCAGTATGTTCCATCATTTATCAAGGGAGGTCATCTGATTGATAATTTGCATAAGTCTGTTGCATCTGGGCTTGCAATTGCAAAGCAGCTGATAAATAATTGTCAGTGTATTGCAGCATAGCTGAAGGACACTCCCAATTTCATCTTAAAGTGATTGAAACAATTAGGCAGCCTTCCCTGTGTAAACAAAAGGAATGGCTGCTCGGTCTTAATCAAATTAGCATTTAAATACATTATTGTTAGAATATTAGAAGTGTGTTTTTTCTTTTGTGTGTGTGTATATATATATATATATATATATATATATATATATATATATATATATATATATATATATATATATATTTTTATAATCCTTAAATGTGTTTTCATAAGAGAGGAACAAAACTGAGTAATTCCATTTTTTTTTACTTTTTTTCTTGCTTTTTAATCATATTTTAAATATGTCTGTTTTCCATGCCATAATTAAATTCTATACTGCTTCAACTTTTATTTTATTACAAACAGACTTGTCAAATTCAGTAGTGCAAAATAAGTCTAACATTAAAATTTGGCAGCCATGTTTTTTCCATCATGTTATTGTAATAATCTTCAAAATAATAATTCATTAATAATAATAATCTTATGATAATCTTCAAAACATCTGAGAAGATTAAAGGATTTATTTTTAATCTGACATTTTATTACTTCAAAAGTTATTTTTAATGAATACTCATGTTTGAAATAAACACCCATTTTTTTTTAACCAGTGTTTATCATATCTATCATTCTCTGCACTCAAGAAATCTTAAAAAAATATGCTTCCAACCAGGGTTTGAACTTGTATCCCTCCTCTTTGCAGAAGAAACCTCCATTTGATCTGGCATACTTTAGACCACTCAAACCAGAGAGTATCATAGCCCAGCAAGGTTCATTTTACTGTTGGATTAAACAGTAGTTTGTCCGACAAAGGGTGATGCAGGTTCAAGCCCTGATTGAGAGCATATTTTCTTTATTATGTTTTCTTTAGTACACAAGCCAGTAGACATACTGTTTAAAAAAAAAATGGAGTGTCTATTTCAAATATAGGTATCCACTAAAAATAATATTTGAAGTAATAAGAATGAAAGAATAAATATTTATCACTTGACACCCTTATCATAAAACCTGTTCTTCAACTAAGAATCTGTTGACATAAAAAATCAGATCAAACTCAGGAAGTTGCTTTGGAAGCAAGCAAAAGGAGAAATCCTCAAAAGCTTTTTTGGCATTTTGAAAAATGGTACAGAGTCTGATTGTTGCTTGACTTTCAGAGATTAAAGAAAAAGAGAGAGAAAAAAAAAAGAATTTTCATTCCCTAAGTTGTTCAGATGACTCTCCTCATTGTTTTTATTATCAGCAAAACATTTCAGTTTATCCTCTTGTTCAGCCTTTTCTCTGTGAACGAGTGTTTGGAGACAAATGGTCACTTTTCTATGAAAAAACAAAAGATGAACAAAAACTTATAATACTTAGAAACAAGAAAAGTTTTGTAGAAACAAAATAGTGTACTGAACTACTATTTAGTATCAATAATCTAAAATAGCAGTGTAAGCTGGACAATTTCCTCACAGATGAAGAGAAGATGTCAACCAACAGAGATGTAGTTCTATGGAAAGACACAGCAAAAACTATGGATGGGGTATGTGAGTAACAAGGAAGTTTTAAGGAAAAAGGGAATAAAAAGGCCATTTATACTGAGAATCAGAAACAGTTGAAATTTCTGGGATGCATAATGAAGTAAGAGGGCTTGGAGAATTTAACACTCACAGGATAGCCATGCACACCATGAAGGGACAAGGCTCATCAATGAAGTTAATCTTGTACATTTGTTTTAGCTTTGAAAAATATAATGGCAAAAAAACAAAGTCAGATATTGCATTTTGTAATGTTTGATTGAAAGCAGTGAAAGGGTTAAGCTTTGAGAAATTCGAAGCTGCTTGCAGAAAGAGGTAATTCTATTGAGGGCAACAAAGATGGAGTGTGGGGAGTGACCGCATCAAATTATCTCCCAAGTTGCTGTAGCTTTGATGAATAGTCTGATACACTCCTACTTTTGATGAAAATTACAATATTTTTATGTAAGTGTCATTTCATTGCTCAGTGATATATTACATAGATTACATATATATATATATATATATATATATATTACATGGCATATTTAATGATTTCTTGTTTGGCAAGAAACAGAAAAGACAAGAAAGAAAGAATAAATAGAAGGAAAAATTATAAAAAGAAAACAGAGAAGGAAAAACGACAAATAAAAAATAACAGGGAAAACTATAAAAAAATAGAGTGAAAATCTAAAGAAAAAGGGAAAAAACTATTAAAAATACATAATATAACTATTATATGTATGTATATATATATATATATATATATATATATATATATATATATACATACACACACAGATACATGAATACATATACATATATTTTATATATATATATATATATATATACATATATATGCACACACATATATACATACATACATACACACATACATACATATACACACATACACATATACATACACACACATATATATATATATATATATATACACACATATACATACACACACATATATATACACCGATATACATAGACGCATATATATATATATATATATATATATATATATATTATTTACATTGTTAGGACTGGTGTCTTCATCTTTGTTGATATATTCACAATGTTTTGGCCGTTGTACACTCTGGCCTTTTTCAGGTAATTGGAATTATCAGGTAATTGTAGGTTATGAAATGTTGTGAATATGGCAACAATATAAACATTGCAAATAATTACAGTATCTCATGCCAGACATATATATATATATATATATATATATATATATATATATATATAT